CACAACACAAATAAATAAATACACTTCACTAAACATAACTGTGCCTGAGACAGTGTGAGAACTTTCCAAAAAATGCAATTCAATAGCAGCGCGAATGAGACATGACAATCTTGACGCCGACGCTGACTGAATGACTTATGAAACAAAGCCATGAGGCATTTTAAGTATTCACCGCATGGCAGCTTCAGCACTGACGAATTCGAAGATACGGATTCCAGCTTGGCCACAGCGGCCACGTTTCTGTATACAGGGGGTGACATGTGCTCGTGTAGTTGGATTTATGTGCACGAGAGAAAATATCGAGTATAGTTTAAGTGAACCCGGAGTCACACGCTGTACGGCATGAATCATGATCGAATTGCGGTTCTGGCATGTAAGACAACCAATTTAAGATGATGTTGCATGTGTCATCAATATTTGTTATGTGTACTGGTTAAATGACGAACTACTTATATACAGCACGACACACGCCAAGGCAATCAGACGCACGGACAGAATGATCTCTTTCCGTGCTCTTTACTTTTGTCGCCAGTAAAGCTGCCGATTCACCACTAATCACGTTTCAGTGAACACCATTGACGAATACATTCTCGACTGCTTCAAAATGCGTAGACTTTAAGAAGCGGAGCCTACATTTGCCTGCTTAAATCAATAACTTGGGGCCTAGCAAGCAAGCGTGCTTCGTAGTCTGTGGAGAAATAAACGTGTTTCTAACGTCTAGAACGATACGCAGAGTGTATATTGTGTATGTATATATCGCATGTGCGCAGATTTAATCGACAGTGAACGTGACTAGTAGATAAATTTTGACCACTTAGAGAGTTGATGTTTCGGCAGATGTGCACCAGTGCACATAATCTTCGTCGAAGTGGTAACACCGTGGTAACACCGGTGCCAAAATTACTACCCGCGAACCTGTGCTGAAGAGCGGAATGTTACGGCCACCACAGCCGGCTGTGCATTTAGAGCAATCAATTCCTTCTCCCCAGAACCTGTCTGTTCGTTGTATTTTTTCGTATTGTTTACAGGCTGCTTGGGCGAATATTCAGCGCCGTTTTCAAAATATGCCCTGCCTTTTCATAAGCTGAACTTCAAGTGACCTCGAGTTTTTAAATGCAAAGCATTTCCTACGAAATTCGGCGACTTTGGGCGTATCTATCTATCTATCTATCTATCTATCTATCTATCTATCTATCTATCTATCTATCTATCTATCTATCTATCTATCTATCTATCTATCTATCTATCTATCTATCCATCTATCTATCTATCTATCCATCTATCCATCTATCCATCTATCCATCTATCCATCTATCTATCCATCTATCTATCCATCTATCTATCCATCCATCTATCCATCTATCCATCCATCTATCTATCTATCTATCTATCTATCTATCTATCTATCTATCTATCTATCTATCTATCTAGCTGCCTACAACTTTTAGTTCTGGCCGTTTCGGTAATGGTATCGATACCGAACTTGTTAAGGCATAACATGACTGTATGAAGAACATATTTTACTAGTCATAACATGAACCCCAGGTGGTCAAAATTTCCGGAGCGCTCCACTACGGCGTCTCTCATAATCAAATAGTGGTTTTGGGACGTTAAATCCCACAAATCAATCAATCAATTAGTCATAACATGAAAACCATGACATGTAGGTCATGAATGTCATGATTTTTATTTTATGGTCATGCAACTCTTGCGGTAGTTTCGTTCACATGGCCTGTTGCAAAACTGGCAAAACTGGTAAGGTATGACATGGTTGCATGGCGAACACAAGCGACAGACCCTCACATGAAAATCATGACATGCGTGTCATGTAACAACATGACTACATGCCACGCTCATGATGCGCTCGCGGCCATTTCGCTAGCGTCACATATACCAATTCGGTATTACAATACGTGAATGGATGACGAAGGTCTGTGACTGGTGCAAACATGATAATCAAGAGATGCCTGTGATGTGAGAACATGACTACATGCCGCAATCAAGGCGCCAATACATTTAGAAATGACACTGTGCGCTTGCTCGCCAGCGTTCCTTTCGTCGCGTCACGCCGGCGTTGCCACGCCAGGCGGCGATCCTGCCATGTACTCGCAGGCGCGCGCCAGACTGCGTTGCTTTGACGCATGCGCGCTTCAGCGCGTCCAGCGTCCCTCCGGCACAAAAAGAGGGAGACCCAGTGTTGTCTATGTGCAGCATGCCGCAGCATTTCGCATTTCACAGCATGTCACATTTCGCGCCAATTGTCATCGGGCCGCGCTGACGGATGCTGTTGGCGCCTGGTGTCAGAATATAGAGTACTCGCGTTTTGCTAATGCAGCGCCGCTGTACCCAGCGTGCGCGTGCGTCACCGCTACATTGAAGTATATTGGGCCCTGCATGATGCACTCGTGGCCGTTTTGCTAGCTCCACATATACCAAATTCGGTGGTATGCGACGTTAATAAATGAAGAAATATACGACTAATGCAAACATTGTAATCCCGACACGCGTGTCATGTAAGAACTTGACGACGTATACCATGCTCCGTCCTCACGGCCTTTTGGCTGGCTCCACATTTGCTAAATTTGGTATCACGTGACGTGAATAGTGGACGAAGGTAAACGACACATTCAAACATGATAATCATGGCACGGAAGTCATGTACGGCTTCATTTACCTCCACCTCGTAACGTTGTGCTAATTTTAAAGTCACATACCAACATTTCTCATTGGTGCTTCGCATATCATCGATTCCCACTGTACGTGGGATCTGCCAATTTTTTTTTCCAGTTGTGAAACTTAGGCTGAAAATTTGACATTGCCAAAGACACGCTGTTGGTTTCGTTAATAAATGACAGCGTGAAACAAAAGGAGCAGTTGTCGGCTGTTTCAAATGTTGAGGCAAAGTTATCCGCCAAGCAACAAGGTCTGTTTCAACGTTCCACTTCATGGCTCTATGCACGCATGCGCCTAGTTCTCTGTAGTTAAGCATGCTGAGGGAGCATGCGAACAACTGTGCCTGTCATGTATATTTTGGAGGCGCATGCGCAGCAGTGGGCTTTACGAAGCACGGCTCTACAGCCCACCTGTACGGCCCAAACGCGTGCACTGTATCCAAAAACAATTACCGTCGGAGCCTGTACGAACAAGTGGGCGCACGAGAATGTATGTATTCTTTAAGGACACGAATGAAGGTAATGAAGAATAGTGATGTGCAGACTGTTGTGCATGCAGGCGTGTGCTTATACTATAAGGCGCTGTGAAATAGATTTTGCCTCAAGAAAAAAAATTACAGCGTATCCATGGAGTGATTGATGATGAGTGGGGCGAAGCTTCGGAAAGTTTTATCGGTAAACTGTTAATCGTCCATCCATCCGTTTGTCCGTCCGTCTTTCTGTCTGTCGGTCCGTCCGTTTGTCTGTCTATCCGTCCATCCATTCGTACGTCCTTACCTCCGTCTGTCCGATCATCTGTCTGTCTGTCTGTCTGTCTGTCTGTCTGTCTGTCTGTCTGTCTGTCTGTCTGTCTGTCTGTCTGTCTGTCCATCCGTCCATCCGTCAATCTGTTCGTCTATCTGTCTGTTTGTCCGTCCGTCTGTCTGTCTGTCTATCCGTTCATCCATCCGTGCGTCCATCTGTCTGTCTGTCTGTCTGTCTGTCTGTCTGTCTGCCCGTCCGTCCATTCGTTCGTCCGCCTGTCTGTCCATCCGTTCGTCCATCCGTCCGTCCGTCCGCACCTGCTGAGTGAGTCAGAGAACTAGGCGGTGGTTAAGTACCAAGAAAGACATGCATGTACAGACAGACCCACGGCTCTAGGAAAAAGAAAATGGCTAATTTAGGGAACTTCATTGCACGACCACATTCGTCATGTGTGGAGACATTCAACAGCAGTGTCCTATTTTTTCCTGCTTTATGTTTCCGTTTGTTTTACGGGTCAATTTTTACAATCTTCTGCCTTAAAATACTTTGAGAAGTAGAAAAAGAAGTTCATAAGCCGACAAAAAGTTTATTATTATTATTATTATTAATAATATTAGTAGTAGTAGTAGTAGTAGTATTTGGTTCACCTACACAAAAAAAGGAAGACATAGAGGAAATAGGGAGGGACAGGCTGACAACTTCCATCTTTAGGGCCACAACGCCTGCCTGCTCCTTCGAAAAGGGGAGGCATAGAAGAATAGTAAGCACTAAAACCCCAAAGAAGCAAAGAGTGTGGGGTGTGTGAGCGCGTATACGGTTTTTCTGGTCGGAAATAGAGGCATTAGATACTGCTATTATACGTCCGTAAACAGTACATATCTCTGTCCTGAGAATTGACTTTTTGTCGCTTTAATGGGCCGCAATGACTCGTCTACCTCAGCTCCTTCCACCGGATTGCCAGGTTAACCATGAAATACATAATATAAACAACAGAACAATCTCGAATCGCTTCATGAAGTTATTGGACAGCCTGTCACGTCACATGCCGAATCTCTTACGATATGCTCGCGCCGAGGACATCAATGAGCACCAGGTTCGACAGTCACTTGCTTAAATGACCAAGGCATAGCAATTGCAGAAGCATCAGCGAACGGACGCGCCGGCACACATTCGCTTGCTACATAGGTGGGACGACGTGGCGAAAGAGAGGCCTGTGCACAGAAACCCAGCAGGTCGAAATTTTGTAAACGCGCCTCTACGCCGTCTGGCCTATTCGTACCGTGGTTTTCGGATGTTAAACTCCAACGAATATTATTATTAAGCATTGCAAAAAAGAAAGAGACCGATTTTTTTTGCTCTTGTTTGACACGTTATTGTAAATGTCCTGAAACTTGCAGCACAATGACATTTGGCTCGCATGTTTCTGGGCCTTCAATACAGATCGACAACATTTTCTATGCTCAAAAAGTGTTTCTTGATGGCTTCTTTAACTCAGCATGATTGTTATCTGTGTGAGAGAGAGAGCAGCATAACGGTTAGATGCTTTCATAATAAAATTCTCCCGCGTACAAAAGTGCACCATACCTGTTATCGCTCTTTCCGCCGACGGTGAAGACCACATTTGCGTGCAGCGTCACCTGGTTGGCCGTCTTGACGCAGGCGACGAGCTGTGTGGCGCTGTCGGCCGTCCAGAGCCGGTGCATTCCCTGCGCGTCCACTGACAGCACGCGACGGCTGTCCGACGTCACGAACACGCTCACGATCTTGCTCTGGTGCTCCTGGGCACGTGCCGTGCGTAACCTTTAGTTGGACGTCACTCCTCTATACAGAGGCGTAGCCAGGGAGTAAAACACCAGGTCCATGCGCCCCCTCCCCCTTTTCTACATAGCATATAGAGCGCAAAACAACAATCGACCACATCTTCCAACCTGTTGTCCTCCACTCAAAATTAAAACGGTACCCCCCCCCCCCCCCGAAAGATATTGCTGCCTACGCCCCTGACAAGCGATTCCGCGCTCCTTCTGTTATACTATTGACGGAGTATGCTGATAGGAAACCTGGCAAGGAAACATTGCACACGAGCGGGCGTAGCAAAGCATGGTACCTGCATTGGACCACTACGAGTGTTGCTATATTTTTAAACTGCTCTTATTAAACAGTATCTCCAGGACTCCAGAGAATACAAGTAGCATTAAGAGCGCTTCATGCACAAGTGGGGAATGAATGTGACATTTGCTTAAATTTGTACATTGGCAAGGATCCAGCAAAACAATTGAATCCATTTCATAAAGTTGCAAAAAGCCTTTGTACAGCACACCAAGATTATTGTGTTGAAACAAGTTGTTTTGAGAAAAAAATTTTTTTTGATAAAAAGCACTCAGCCCCAACTCAATGGACTGTATCACAGAATTTCATGTGCAAACGTTTTTCATGCCTTTGACTCTGAGAGATAAGCTTTGGTTTTCGCAATCATTATTACCTGACCCGGGCAATAACCTGAGCTGGAGCCCCATCCCCATGTAATGAATTCACAATTTACCTTTCACGATTTACAGCAAGGTGGTACAAGTTATTTTTTAATATTATTATAACTTTCACAGGCATCCCGGATGTTGAGTCATTCCTTCTTTCCATAAACTCCCTTCATTTTATTGACTTCTGATGACTCCTTAGTTGCTGTAATTCATGAATGCTTCAAGAATTGAAGGCAGAAAACTTATTTTTAATATTTCATACAAAATAGTTGTAGCAGATTGTACGAGATTCCAGAGCGAGCATATATCAATGCAAGCAAATATTTCCAAAATGCAAGCAAGTAAAAATAAAACAAGAACAAAAACCGTTTGCTAACTTAAAAACAGTCTTTATTTGTGGAAACCACCACTAATGTGGCCTTCATTGTCAGCATGTGGATATGCTACTACATTTATTGAAAGGAAATCGTAATCAGTGCTAGCGACTACATCATTTTGAATTAAGATGTGCGAACGAAACTCCAAGGCACTTATGTTGGTTTAAGCCGGAGTAATGAGCCTTTAAGTATGTGGGTGGGTATGTTTACTTAAGTAACCACAGGGAGCGCAGGTAATGAGAACAACTATTTCTAAAGTTTAAGTAATAGTGAATGTAGAGAAGTAATCCTCGGTTCGAAGTAAAGCTTGAACTGAACTCTATTTCCACTAACCAACCTGAGGCCACAGAACGTCGCGAATGTCAATGAAGCTCGATGCAAAGCCATGCAATGCAATCACGATCGATAAGAGGCACTTATATAGCGATGAGTGGCCACACCTTGAACGTGGAGACAACCAGACCAAGCGTGAGGCCCCAGACACGGAGTGTGTTGTCCTCGGATCCGGAGACAACGAACAGGCCATTGGGCGCGAACGCCAGGCAGGTGATGGCGGCTGTGTGGCCAGTCCAGGTTCGTGTGCGCTTCGCCAGTGCTCATCTGCCACACCTTGAGCTGGCCGTTGCGCGACCCTGCGATGCGCCCAGTCTTCTCGTTATGAAAATCAGGCTTATGGGAAACTCAACATAGTTATTTTATATCGAAACATATACGTAAAAACACATAAGCGAAGCTCAATGCATGGAATCATATGAATGACCTTATTACTTATATTTGTGGGCTAGATGGTGCATAATAACGAAAGAAGCAATACCGATAGTGGACACGTCCATATTTCTTCTTTTTTTCCTGTTATTTTGCTGCGTCCAGAGTTTCGGTAAAATAAATTAGAGTAACCATACTGTCGCGGGATTATGGGAATGCGAGGGAATTCATCCATCGCCGAGCAACACTAATGTTGCATGCATTGCTTTCGACGTCCATTTGAAGCAGGACAGCGAGCCTAAGTAAATAGTCACTACTATGCATGTAGAAGCTGTTCCCCAAAGAACCCCAAACTTACTGTTCCCTTCCGCCGGCGAAGCGAAGTGCAGAAGAGGGCGTAAGTGCGCGAAGATGAAGATAAAAGCTGTACTGCTCTTTGGGGAGCCATAGATTATTCAGGTTAACGGAGGCACGAGCCGTTATTTCTTGTTTGAGGAACATCATCACCACATAATTGTTCGAAGCGGCAGATAGCGTCATCTTTCTTTAAGAAAACCTGGGTTTCGGCTTAGTTGCTCACCGATACCAAATCGCTGGTCTCCCTTGCTTAACGACCTGGTTCCATGTTGTCTTAGCCGCGCTGGAAGCACAGGTATCTATACATACAAGCCGCTTGGGGCACAGGAGAGGGGTCAGTAGATCTTAAAGAAACTATCAAAGACGTACAATCGTCTGGCTGTTACAGTTGTCTTTGTATGTAACAATCATTTTTTGCGCACGATCGGTCCTGCAATTTCTTTCACTGCCAACAATTGGCCTGTATATGGCTTCTTTTTGTTTTGTACTGATACCATGCAAAATACTAACCGATGTTGACGTTACGAAATGGCCACTCTCTATAGCAACCATTTTTATGCTTGTTCCATCACCTGAATTTTCTCGTTCGTACACGAGGTAAACGCATGTTTTTCGGATTCGGCTCCTTCTCTGTGTTGTCCTGCGTGCATTGTTCGTACTCGCTGCACATCATAGTTACGTTATCATGCCAAACCAACTAGGCTACCTTCATAGAATCTCGATATTGGAAGTAGTGTATAAGGCAATCAATATGTTTTGCAAATCCTTATAAAGTTGCACATTGGGTAGCAATTGAATCACGCGGCTTCCTATGGCCAACGGTTGGTAGTTGACGTGGTACAAAATGGCGCGTGAATGGTGTTACGATTGCCGCTGGAGCCAAGCAGAAGGGGTGTTTGCGGTTCTGCGAACACGTTGCCGAAAGGATGCGGTCCTACTGATAGTCCGTTCAAATTGAGTATTGTCCTCCCAACCGGGAAGCGAGGCACAGGAAGTTGCGAAGCCGCGCCGCAAAGGGCTCAATGAGACGACCAAAATGGTTTCGGTCGCGCCAGCCTCTTTGAATATATGGCTGTGACAGCATGGATAACCGTCAGCCCCGCGAAATGAGCGCGACAAGTACGTTTTTTTTTCATGCTTTCTGGTGGTGCGCTGGTAGTACGAGCGTGGGACGTAGCACCTAGCGGCATTCTCATCCCAAGGAAGAGACACCTTGGCGCCGGAGGGAGAGTGTGGTGCTCACGTTCGTGTCAAAAACGTTGACCAGGGCATGTGTGGGTGGGACCGTCTAAAGTGATATGTGTGCGGTGGTTGGACAGGGGAGTTTAAAGCCGTTCCCCCATCTAAGGGTGAGGGGAAAAAACATGTAATAGCCAGCCGCAGTGTGCTACTGAGAGAGCCTTCGACAAGTTCTTCACGATGTAGGATGACATCTTCGTCTACACGTTCGTCATGTGGCGAGAAACTTTCGCTTGTAAATAATGTAAAACAAACCTATGTGCAGTTTTCCTCATCAGCCTCTTCATACTCGGCGTCTTCTTCCCAAGTCTGCGGAGCCAGTAACGGCAAAGTACACCTCAACAACAGATAGCAGCGGTGAGATTTTGGCCGACCCCTGGTTCCAATTGGTGGCAGTGGTGGGATACTCAAAACCCCAGATCCAACAATGGGCAAAAGGACAACCGACCATGTTCTCCCGTGGTCCATTATAGCAATATGTGAGGTTTTACGTCCCAAAATCGTGAATTGTTTATGAGAGACGCCGTAGCGGAGGGCTCCACAAATTCTGACCACCTTGTATCTTTTACGTGCACTGACATCGATGGGCCTCTACCGTTTTATCTGCACCGAAATGCGACCGCCGCGGCCGGGATAGAAGCCGCGACCATCAGGTCTGCAGCCAAGCATCATAACCACTACACCAAAAACGGCGGACTAAAGTATAATCAAGCAGAATAATTTGTACCTACGCAAATTTATTTGCAAATTCCCAGAGATGGAGTGGGCCGGAGGAGGGAAGCTTACCCGTGACAGCTACGCTGCCGTCCCTGGAGAGAGCTACGCAAGACACGGGGTCCTTGTGGACGTCCACCTTCTTGGACTTTGGCTGAGGGTGGCACATCTCGCTCTTCTTCAGGTAGAAGTTCCACACTACGATCTTGTTGCCAGCCGCCGTGATTAAAAATGTGTCCCTACTTTGAGCCTGGAAAAGAAAGCGACCAAAAAAAAAAAAAAACCTGAGCATATAGATGGAGTGTGCCTCGACTAATTTTAGGCAGAGTTCCGAAATACGCCTGATGCACTGTATGACTATGTGATCAAATGCGTGTTGCTGACTACTGCATTGAGTATGTTTCAATTTCCTTATCTTTTTCCATTGCTTAATTAGCCAAGACTTATTAAGCAATTTGCGAAGCACGAAGCTTACAAATTTACAAAATTTACAATGAGAGTGTTGTAGATACGTTCACAAAACGTTTGATTACACAATTAGCCGTACTTGCTTATCTATATTCATTAGTGATTTTCTGCTTAATGGAATGCCTAGATGCCCGAGAAGCGCAAAAAATAAAAAAAGCATGAGGCATGCTACTTGCGCACCGCGACACGTTAAAAAATCGTTCCCTAGTACAAAAACTGAGACCGAGACCGAACTTTAAATGACATCACTGGCATCACATGTTCTCTCGCATGCTTCTGACTTAGCCTGCGCATTATTCGAAAACGAAGGAAAATACAGAAGAGCTTTCAGGTCCACTAAAAGCCTCCGGAATGAGTGCTCACGCTGGCCTTAAGTGGCTCCACCTAATGTCCCTCCTGTATATAAAAATCTGACGAAAAAAGAAAGCAAGGCTGGTAAAACGCGAGAGACATGTCATATCAACCACGTTCCTACAAAATCATCTTTACATCTGACCTTTCAGATGTGCCACTGAACGAAACAAGATCATGGTAGTTCGACACCTATAACGTTTGCAAAAAAGAGCAAGCACGTATTTCAGTTCTTCTGACGCGCATATTGTGAGGAATGAGGTTTATGAGCAGTATTTTCTCACAAAGCTTACTAGAGGGAACTCTGGGTGCTGTATACTCTCTCCAATACATCACAATGAAAATAGTGGCCAGTATATATCTTTGTCAAGCTTGATGCATCGAACTACACTCTGACGTCATCTATCACATGTTACATTTCAGAAAGGTGAAGTACTAATGTAGTTTTCTAAACACAAAATGACACATAGTCTGCGAGATCACTGGTAATTATTGCAAACCGACGCATACGTAATACAATATTAGCGATTGCGATCTCTTTGGAAATGGCAAAACTATATTAGAAGCCAAAAAAATGAAGTTGAGTGAAATGCATGCACCACTTCTCGTGCTTTTCAAATGTTAGTCAAACCACCGCATACTTGCCGCTCTTGTAGAAAATGACGATGATCATGTCGATGTTGGCATCCCCTTTTAAATACAACCAGTAGCCATCTGGCCTGTTTTTTTTTTATAATCGGGACGACACGATATTCAATCGCGCAAGGATACACTCCGATGAACTGGGATAGACGAAATAGCTTTCATACGTTGCATGCTGCAGTAAGTCAGTGTTTCTAGGCTTTCTTTCTTTCCTTCAATGAAAACTCTAGCGCCAAAGCTAATCGAAGCGTAGCTTTGTAAGAGAGTAAGAGAGAAAACCTCGAGCAAGCGTCCCTGCTTGCACTCACCTGAATGGCGACCACGGGGGCGTCCGGGTGCGCGGCAAGCGTCTGCACCAGGCGCGCCGAGTGGATGTCGAAGACGAAGGCCTTGCCGTCGCGCGTACCCAACACGCAGCGGCAGTTGTCGCGCGCGAAGCCGATCGCGCTGACTCGGCCCGCGTACCCTTGCAGGCAGTGCACGTCCGAGCCCGTGGTGAGCGAGCGCACGCGCACGCACTGATCGGCGCAGCCGAGCAGCAGGAACGTGCTGTCGCCCGAGATGCTGAGCCGCTCGACGGCCGCCGGCAGCGAAAGCGTGTTGAGCAGCGTGAATGTCTCCAGACACCAGATGCACACCGTGCAGTCCGAAGATGCTGCGGGAAAAGACACGGCACACGCGAGTGCTCAATAGGCGCGCGTTTGTGTTGCTTACGGACATTCTCAAATAAACTAGGTCCAGACCAGGCGAGTCTTTTTTTTTGCATTTATTAAAAGGTGGCCCAGTAGCCATGACATTACATAAGGGAGGTGTAATAAATATAATCAGAGCCACCAGCTTCTTGCTAGAATATACATAAAAAATTCAGCATCGATTTTCCGTGTCCAAACAACATGAAGCGAACATTCGATGAACTGACAAACTGGCTGACCAACCAATTAAAGAACAGATTTAATTTCTGAAAGACATGCACAAAAACGAAGCCAAGCTAAAGGCCAGTCGACCTGGCATGGCTTTGCTACGCGAAAAAAAAAAAGAGTACCATTAGCACGTTGACAAAAGCGTAGATGCTCCCCTCCCCCCTCTCCCGTCGGAAAATCATCTTCTATATAGGTCAACCTTTCTTTCCCTGTTCTCCTTATGCTTATACCGAAGTAAAACGAACCGTTATCATTCTCTCAAGTTTTCCACTGCTTAACGCTATGTTGGACCGATATTTCTTTTAATCTAACAATTTCAGCTCCTTTTAGTAGCCCCCGTCTTTTACTGTTCTGTATACATCAAGGCACCTAATCATGAAGGCCTTTCGGGAATTTCTCGGTTAGAGTTTTCCTCCTTGAGACGTATCCTTGAATCACACTTGTCTGTGAAGAATGTCTGTGATTGTTATGTTTCTTCACCTCTTTCTTGGATTATAGTGTAGCAAACAGGACACATCTTCTAGTTATTCCTATTACCATCCTTATTTAATATCCTCAATGCCTAATCTCCCTATGTTCTCGCTAAGCTCTGCTTAGCATTTTTACAAATGTTGGTGTCGATCGACGTAGACGAACCTCTGTTCCAGCATTTTTTTCCCTTAGAGCAGGCCGGTAAACCAGAAAACTCGTTTATTCAATCACCCTTCTCTTTCTTCTTCTTTCGCTCTTTCTCTCTTTTCAATACAGCAATCCATTGGGACAGATAAATATTTATGTGAAAGAAAAATATGACGCCAACAATACCATTCCAGAAAACTGTTCATTGTCAGCTGACGATTGATTGATTGATGAATTGATTGATTTTGATTGACTGATTGATTGATTGATCTATATGTGGGGTTTAGCGTCCCAAAACCACCATATGATTATGAGACACGCCGTACTGGAGGGCACCGGGAATTTCGACCACCTGGGGTTCTTTACCGTGCACCTAAATCTGAGCACACGGGCCTACAACATTTCCGCCTATTATTTTTGCACCGCATCATTCAAAACTAAAGCCGGTAAATTTAGCTGAAACAAAGAAAATGATGCAGCAAAGACAATTTTTTATTAACAAGTTCATTTGTCTCGGCATCTGATGGCTGCCAAGAACTAAACACCCAAGCTAAAACAAAAAAAAATGTTTAAAAAATAGAGCGTCTTGCAGAAGCATCAACGTTTCATGTATTTTAAGTATTGTTCGGGATTAAAAGCGGCCACCATGTGATTGAAAGGAACTTCTGCTGGCAACGACTGAGACGCGTCTTTGAAATGGAGAATTATGGAAGAAGAGCTGTGGTGGAAACAGGTTTATTCTTCTAAAGCTACCGAATTTTGATATTTGGAGGGAGAAGCCATTACACGAGCGGACGTTTATAAAAACTGCCAGTGGCACCATCCCAGAAAAAAAAAACTTGTGCATGTTTCACAGCCTACACAAAAGAGCTCGAAAAGCTGAAGTGTACCGAAGGGAATTCTCAGAAAGTTAGAGAGTACGAAAAAAAGAAAGGCACGGAAGAAGACACCTTGATAAGACAGCCTTTTTGAATCCCGCCTCGTGGCTTTGCAGTGCAACGAACAAGAAGAAATTCTCCGCAGAGAGTGCAGAAATCATTCGCCAGCATACAGCTTTCCGTTTACCTTAGCACAGCGTGCTTGACAGACCGTACATCAGAACATCTTATTCTATTCCGCACAAAAGGATACTCACAAACAGAACCACCTTAGGCTGGATTTTACGAATCTTGGAAATATTCTGCCGACATGTGCGGCTGCCAGAAATGTACCATGAATTTTTACTTTTTCTATGACTGGTCCCTAATACAAATACCTGGGGTTGATCTCACAAAGTCCTAGTTTTTAAAATAAATCATGGCGCAGTCTAGTAGCCTTCGCTAATGCTATGAACGACAATGACAGGCGATGGGCGGTGAGTCACTGTCATTACCCGTGAACCTACGTATTACCAATTATGATCAGTATTTATTAAGGCACTGATTAAACGAAGATGCTAAGTTGATCTCTCAAATTGGAACAGTAAGAAGAAATGAAATATTGAACTGAAAATACCATCAGTATCATCTCAAAACTATTGCCTATAGGTGCTGCCGATACCCACAACTGTACACCACAGCGGTAGTTTTAGAGCATGAAAATGATAAGTTTCTTAGGAGTTAAGCAGTGAATTTACAATTAAGTAATTTCAATGCATCAACTGATGTTCGAAACAACATGTGTTAAAGGATACTGACACAAAAAATATGGCCTCACGTTTTTTTTTTTTTTGCTGCAATGTGTTCCTGAGGGCCTGTTAGTCATGACACGGCCCATGTCTGCAGCGCGCGACATATAACTATCACATGCTCGTTATTACCGACCAGTGTCAGTTTCGGTTTCAAAAATGACAAGAGCCTGGGTGCACAACTATCACCACCTGGCGGGTGAATAGCTCGACCATGTCAGCACAGAGAACTGTGACGCACTTCCGTGCAGTTCGCATGAAGTTTTTTTCGAATAAGAAACGAACAGAACTATCATCTAACATGACACTATCAACTCGTGCGTCGTGGCCACAGACTCACGAGTAGCTGCCGAGTAATAGTCTGCTTGAGCAAAAGCGACAAAAAACAAATGGCGGCTATGACGTCGTCATTACTTGCTGCAGCGTGGTCTTGTGAGGAAAGCAAGGCGTCCCCGAGGGTCCGTCTCCTTTGAGGATGTCAATAGCACGATGGAGTCGATCGCTGCGCAAACATCAAAATTAATTTAGAATACTTTCCAATTAAGCTATATTCCCTCTCTGCTCTCTATCTTTGATGTCTCCCCATCCCTCTCTAATGCGCACGGAAAGAAACCGGCTGCCTATAGGCTGGTTAACCTCCCTGCCGTTCTTTTTCTTCTAGTTTCTTTCTTCCATCCTTCACCGTTCATATTTTGCAGATGATATACGCACGTTGACGGGAATAAATTCCGCAAGCTATCAAAACCGTGAAATTTCGTGTCAGTATACCTCTTGAGTACAACGCTAAAGCGTAGCAGGGAAGCTGGTGATGGGCAAGCGTCACGTACCGGTGGCGAAAATGTCGTCGCCGCGGTTGACAGCCACGGCGCTGACGACACCGCGGTGGTTCTCGAGGCGCTGGACCAGCTGCCCGGTGTCCAAGCGCGCCAACACCACTACGCCGATCTCGGAGCCACTCAGCACCAGGTCCTCGGCGTTCGTACACGTAACGCACAACACACCGGCCACGTGGTGACTGCGACGGAAAGCTAGGGAGTCAAACTCAAGAGGGGATGCTTCTCGCTTGCACTGCACTGAGCTGAGCAATCGCTTCAAAAGCAAACCTAATGGAGTTATAGGAAGGTTGGAGAAAACTACCACCCACGTCAAATATACAACCAGTTACACGTTAGGAAAGGCAGTATTTGGACACAGGCTCACCTTAGCCTTCTCCTAAGCTCGCCCGTCACCGGATCCCAAACGAGCACGTCTGTGTCCTCGGAGCCACTTAGCAGGTGCAGGCCCGATGGGGCCATGTGCAGGCAAGTGATGGCGGCCTTGTGGCCTGCGTGAGAGCAATCAATCAATCAATCAATCAATCAATCAATCAATCAATCAATCAATCAATTATTCAATCAATCAATCAATCAATCAATCAATCAATCAAAAGAATGCTCAATCAATCAATTTAAAACCACCACCAGCAAGTAAACACTTCCACCAAACTGAAGACGAGATCAACTCAGTACACAAAGGGTACACAATGGCCCTGTCGAAGATTGAGCAGGTAATATGAGTGGTTTAACCTGACGAAAACCACGATATGATTATGAGAGGCGCCGTAGTGGAGTGCTCCGCTAATTTCAACCATGTGGCGTTGTTTAACGTGCCCTGACATCGGACAGAACACGGGTTTCCAGCGTGAACTTCACGCACATCGAAATGCGAGCGCCACGGCGGACAAGAATAATAGAAGTTGTCAATTCATAAATATATACAGTTCATATATTGGTTTCTTTCGAAAGGGTCATCAAGTGAAGAGTTATAGTACAGTGTAAAGGCCACGTATACGAAGAAGTGCATGGATCACGCAGTGTTACCGACGGTTCGCACATCTATCCGCTTCGCTATCAGCGTTATATCAGCTTCCATTTATATTCAACTCTATTCATGCATTTTTGCATGCACTATAGCGTTCTTGCACCAGCTCAATGTTCATTTATCGAATCCATTAGTTAGGAGGAAGGGGTGTCATTACTTTCCCTCGCAAACTTTTTCACCGGACGTTCTTGGTATATATTCAGTCGCACGCATACGTCATGAAAACAACCTTACATAATTTTAACCACTGATACTTCATATTTGAAGGTACAAGATCACTAGGCAGATCGTATTATCGATTAAGGGAGATAATGACGTCGAAGAGCATTTACACCATGGTCGAGAAAGGCAACATTACGCCAGTCTACTCATGAATAGACTCACTCAGGCTCACTTAGACTCAAGTCAAGCTGTGAATCTGGCTGAGCAATAGGCTGGTCAGATTGAGTCCTAGTGAGTCCGCACAGCAAGCTGCTTGCACAGCAAGTGCCTGTTGTGCAAGCATCTGCATTCCGGTGAATGATTTTGTTCCTTGTTGAGGTGCGCGTGGCCCCGCCACAGTGGTCTAGTGGCAAAGGTACTCGACTGCTGACCCGCAGGTCGCGGGATCGAATCCCGGCTGCGGTGGCTGCATTTCCGATGAAGGCGGAAATAATGTAGGCCCATGTGCTCATATTTGGGTGCACGTTAAAAACCCCAGGTGGTCGAAATATCTGAAGCCCTCCACTACGGCGTCTCTCATAATCATACGGTGGTTTTGGGACGTTAAACACCACATATCATCATCATCGAGATGCGCGTGCCATGCAGCCATTTCAGTTTTCCTTTTCCTGGCATTAAAATTGAGCCTTATGCATCGACTAAAAGTTAGACGACGGTGGCTTCGCTCCATGCAGAACATAAAAACACAGTCCATGACAAAATGGTGGTCGCCTGCGGTGGTATTGGTTTATAGCCAGCAATTTATGGGGCTTATCTTGCACTGAAATATTCTTTCACAGTCCATTTTGCATAGGAACATTTGGACTTAAAATTTTATTTGCTGAAAACTGGCAATAGAAATTGATAGGTGATCGTGTCACAGCCACATTAATCTCATTGGAGATACCATAACTAATAAGACTGATACAATTTTCTCGTGTAATCGATTACTGACACAAAAAATGAATTGTACTAAATCTGCATATAGTAATATCGCTCTTTTATACGGCGACGCGGCATTGGCCGCATAAAACGAAGTTTGAACGCTACTGTACTAAGCATAGAGAGGCAACAAGCGCGCTTCTTATACTCGGCAAAGTGGTTGTGAGATGCATTCTTGTCTGCGAGAGACCGTCTCGCCCGACTGAGCGAATGCTGACCGTGGTCTAGACGATATAAGCGACTTTGGTACACAAGCTGTGTTGTACGATGTTAAAGAGCTGTACAAACCCGGCCCGAAGCATAGCAATATGAATAAGCGTATTCCGAGATCGGTATATCGCCTCTGCAGCGGCCAAAACATGGCTCGTCCTATGACGCGCATCACGTACGGACAGCCCAGAATGTTCCAGCAACCGTTCAGTTTCGTCGTATTCACCCAGAAGCTGTCTAGCTTTTTTTATGGTTTTTCTTCATGTTAGTAGGTTGAGTGGTACGCCGCGAAAAATAAAGCGAGCCATTCCACTCAGCGGAATGCGGGCACACTGCTGCGTCGGTGATCGCAGTCACGACACCTTCTCTTTCGTGTCCGTGCGCCCGCTCGCAGTTTATTTTTTTTATTTTGATAGCAATTATAGGGACACTCTCCACTGAATTTCGCCTGCCGACGTCGGCATCACTCACTGTGTATGTATATGTATGTATATATCTGTAAATGCAACAAAGAAAAACAATCGAGAAAAAGAGCCACAGCTTCTCCGCAAACGCGAAGTAGTGAACGTGATAGCAACAAATTAGACGATCACGCGTAGAATAGAAAGTAGATCGTACACGGCGCTTCTCACGCTCAAATGACGCATGAAACACACTCACAGGTACATATGCACGCGAATAAGCGTCTTCGCCAGTGTCTGAAAAGCACGCGCTTTTCGCAAACGGAGACTGCAATGATTGCAGTGACCATTGTGCGCCCGGTAACTACAACAGAATCGTTCCAGGCAAAGCCCGAGACCAGCCAAGGCGTACGATCCTCCACTCCTCCCCACCGCGATATAAGGGCGTGCGAGGAAGCGTCGCTCCTCTCCTCTGAGCGGGGCAAAGCACGCGCGGTTGATTAGAGTGCGCGCCACCGTGCGATGTGTCGACGCGCGCTCATTGCGCCATCTTGCTGGTAGTGCTGGAAGCACGATAATCCCCCCCCCCCCCCCCGAGATGCTCTTCACCAGCAGTAAGTGGTAGATATGAATAGCTTGCCGTTTGAACGGTGGTTAACGCCTCACACCCTCGATTCACAGGACCCACGTTGGATTTCGGGCACCAGAGTATTTTTCTGGTTTTTCTTCTTTCTTGAACTTTCATGAAGCGTTAACTGCTGAGCCACTGAGGAGCCCCTACTTGAACGATTCAAACTGCAAGCTATTTATATCTGCCACTTACCGCTATTCACGTACATCTCAGGGGAGAGAGGGGACTATAGTAATTGCACCATTACCAGCAATATGGCCGCAACTGAGAGCGCGTCGCCACATCATCACGACGCGGCCGCGAGTGCGCTAATCTCCCACGCGTGCTTTGCCCCGTGGTGCAGAGAGGTGGACGCTCACTCAGGTGCCTTTATCTCGCTGGTGGGTAGGATCATACCACGGCTACTGGATGAAAGAGCGCAATGGTACGGCCTGCCGCGTCGGGCGCCTTTCTATGGGAGAGCACGTGTCAGCTGTAGGGTCAGTTGCGGCCGCTGCAGCGCGATGGGGCGGGGACGGGAGGGACGCGAAAACGAGTGACGCTGGCTCTCTCGGGGCAGCAGCCGCAGCAAATTAGCTGGTGTTTGTTACAACAGTGACCCACTCAGTTGTTCTAATCAGTGTTTGTTTTAATCTCATTTATCGCAGCGATGATATATCGCGTATTTAGTAGACTACGAGGCGCTATCTAGTTAAAAAGTCAATTGATTGTTCCGATGCATGCCGAACACCTGACGTTTTTTTTTTTCAGAACTAGCTTCTTGTTTAAGGCTGAATGAAAAATCCACAATACATGTAGCTGAATGATATGGCGCAGAATGCAGGACGAAGTCGTTGTTCTATTTATGAAGATGCCTTAAACTAACGCATTTTAGTTTTTGTGACATATATACAGCACTTTGGCGTTTTCTCAGCCGGAATGCTTGGCAAATAGTTCTTTGGACACTTGACAATAAACGTTAATAGTTTTCATATGCTGAAAGCGTATGAAAGAGACATATTTTGAATATGTTTATGTTATCCGGTACGCGGTATTGTGCCGAAAGGTAATTCAGCTTCAAACGCTGGATAAAAGAAGTTTTTAAAAACATGGTGACGCGCTCCTCGTAACTTTATTGAAGAGGCTGCGAAAGTATTAGAAGTGGCATTTAAATGTCTTGATAATTCTTACTAGGCAGAGCAATATATATATTTATATATATATATATATTACTGGCGTGGAGTGGCTTTATCTAGAGCAATGACGGGGGCACTAATAGTCCTCAAGCCCTGAATCAAAATCATGAGACTGCAGGGATAAACTCAAGCTATACTTATTTATGCGCGACATACACTTCCCCAGTTATACATATATATACGGCCGGGTGAAGTGACAACCACGTTTTTACTATGTTTACTCATCGCAAAACCACGACTGCTGAAGGGCAGTGGAGTACACGTGACGTGCCTTCGTTTGAGCGAGAACAGGTGCCAATTTATTGACGATACATAGTAGAACAAATAAATGGGAATAGTTGACGGAAACGCATGACGGAGACTGCTGGAAGACAAGCAGGTTGGAGTGCTATCAGGATTGGCCAGTGTTCGTGGAGAGGCTAACATAAAAACACCAATCGGATGGTCTTATTGTCAATAGGCACAGAAGCCAAAAGTTGGGCGCACAAGCTGGATCAATTGTCAAGTCGTTTTTTTATGCAAAGTTTTAAGAAAGTAAAAAAGTTAAAAATGCCAGAATCAGCCCTTAATTGAGAACAAATAAAAAAATTCACAAATATTGTACCGATTATGTGTTCACTGTTGAATTAATTGCATTATCATAAGGACGTCAGCACGCAAAGAGACGAAAACATTCAAAAGTGCAGGAACGCCAGCATTGAATTGCCAGCATTGAAGTTGAAGCAATCGCCAGCATTGAGGTTACAGTCAGTGAAATTTCAAAGAACCTCGAGTCCACTGTTATCTGATCGCACACATGCTAAGTATAATTAGTTGCTGTTGCATCTCATACTGTATTGCATGAATACTATAGATGTGTTTTGAGGAAGTAAAAAGTCTACCTTATTTTGCGTTAAAGGAATAG